TGAAATCGTTACCTATCGGTAAAAACAGGTCACGAACAAAAGATTCGGGACCTCATTTTCAAAACAGCTCCGGAGAAACGTGCAAGACTTAGTCAAGAGGAAGCTGTTGCGAATCCCGCAACTCATGGAGATAATCATGGAGGCTTCGTCGGAAGAAGTTGGACGTGACCTAGTGCTATATAAAGAAGAGAAGAGATCAAAGAAAGGGGATTCGACTCATTCAAGAGAGAGAGACTCCAATACACTTTGTTCTTAGTCATTCTCTATAAATCATTGTTCTTTCTATTCAGATCAGAAAGATCATCTTTGTAAACTCTTTTATTACCAAAAATCAATATAAACAACGTATTCATTCATACAAGTTCCAACAGGATTCAGCCCACGATTATCTTTTCCCAATCTATACCTAACCTAAACTAGGAAGTGAGTTTTACCCCTCACAGTATTCTCATAATGTAACTGTAAGTGACCTTTGGTGATACAAGATTCACTAAAATTATGATCCCCATTTGTGTCGCAGAAACGCAACATCAGTTCAATGCGAGAGAAAGCGATTGGGGATTTAAGTCATTCATGCCTCTTAGCGAACTTTATGATCCTAGTAGAGGATATTTAGCGAATGATACTGTTTACATTGAAGCTGAAGTCGTTGTGCGTAAGGTTCTTGATTACTGGTCTTACGACTCTAAGAAAGAGACTGGGTTTGTTGGTCTCAAGAACCAAGGTGCAACTTGTTACATGAATTCTCTTCTTCAGACACTATACCACATACCTTACTTCAGGAAGGTTTGATATATTCTCGTTTACATCATTAATCAGCTTGCTAAGTTCTACGGGTTCTCTCAGAATTTTAAACCGATACAAATGAATCTTGTATGTTGCTTGTAGGCTGTATACCACATGCCAACAACTGAGAACGATGCGCCCACAGCAAGTATACCTTTGGCGCTCCAAAGTTTGTTTTACAAGCTCCAATATAACGACACCAGTGTTGCGACAAAAGAGCTGACAAAGTCGTTTGGCTGGGACACATATGATTCTTTTATGCAACATGATGTCCAAGAACTCAATCGAGTTCTCTGCGAGAAACTTGAGGATAAAATGAAGGTTGTTCTTTTTTAGTTATGCGATGATGTCCCTCTCAGTTTATGTTTCTTGTTTTAAGCTTTTTCTTTTCTCTATAGGGAACTGTTGTGGAGGGAACAATACAACAGCTATTTGAGGGTCACCATATGAATTATATCGAGTGCATAAATGTAGATTACAAATCTACACGGGAAGAATCATTTTATGGTACATCATTTTTAAAAATTCACTCTGTTATCTTTTTCTACCTCAGCAACGTTTTTGTCATTTTGGCATGTTCGTATCTTGTGGCAGACCTTCAGCTGGATGTTAAAGGATGCAAGGATGTTTATGCTTCTTTTGATAAATACGTTGAAGTTGAACGCCTTGAAGGAGACAACAAATATCATGCAGAAGGACACGGGTTACAGGTTGGTTTTCCTCACTCTTTCCATTCCATTTTACGTACTGGATGGTCGAGTCATTCACAACTAGCTTATTTTGATACGTAGCAATTATTTTATTGCCTTGAATATCCCGCAAATTAAAAGGTGCGAATACTTTATAACGCAGGAGTTGGTATTGAACAACCTAAACTAAGACATGTTTGGAACTTATTTTTAACTAGAATCCTAGTTAGTTCTGTTACTATTGCAAATGTATTCCTTACTACTTATCTAGTTTTATCCTGAAGGAATCCCATGTCCATTCTTTCAGGATGCAAAAAAAGGTGTTCTTTTCATAGACTTTCCACCGGTTCTTCAGCTCCAGCTCAAAAGGTTCGAATATGACTTCATGAGGGATTCCATGGTTAAGGTTAGTATTTGAGGTTGTGACCATGAGCTGTACTTTATCGCTTGGTGGTGCCCTTATTTGTGAATGCTGATGTAGCTTCTATTGATAGATAAATGATCGGTATGAATTTCCGCTTGAACTGGACCTTGATAGAGAGGATGGAAAGTATTTATCCCCTGATGCTGACAGGAGTGTCCGCAACCTTTATACACTTCACAGGTCTTCATTATACCTTTCGATTCACTTGTAGTAGATAACAAGTGCTTCAATTCAAAAATTATATTCCCTATAAGATGCAGTATTGATAATATCGTTGCACGACTCAGTTTATCTTTGATTATCTGCATGATCTTCTCAAGGAATCTGCTATATATAGCTTATTGCGCATGCACCGTTAGTTAACATTTTATGAGCGTAGAAGAGATAAAGAGGTTTTCATTTTCATTTGGTTGTTGCACGACATTTTCCTCCTTAACCTGCTAGCTCTTATTTGTCTGCAGTGTATTAGTTCATAGTGGAGGAATACATGGTGGGCACTATTACGCATTTATAAGGCCCACGCTCTCTGATCAATGGTATGAATCTTTCTATTATTGAAATAACATCCATGATTTTTGTGCCTTAAGAAAGTTTCATATTTTGGGAGTAGTAAGGATTTGAATCTGAAAAGTAATTAGTAATTCTATGCTGGTGGTACTCAGAAGGTCACACTTCTGAGAAATTTGTCCAGATCCATTAGTAGTACATTGCTTTACCTGTTCCTAAAGCTGCCACCTGTAAGAGATATATGATTACTAGGATAAATATGTTGAATAAGCAAACATTGTTTGGATAATAAGGAACTAGTGTTATACTTTGCGCTTCTCTTTTTTGTTGGCTTTTCCACTTATAAACTTAAGAGTGGTGCTTTTGTCGCGAATGTTGCATAGACTTTACTATATGAAGAAATCTGTTATTATGTATATCAACTCATCAATTTGAAAAATTGGAAGTGCCTATGATGTATTAATATGCTTTCATGTCACATGGTGCAAAACCAGCGTCATACATCTCTTCTGATACTGGATTCAAATTTATAACATGCTTGGTCTGTGCATTTATTCCTCTTAGACTTTTGTTTCTTCTCATGAACAAATTGAAGCTTCTATTTTTCAGGTATAAATTTGACGATGAACGAGTAACCAAGGAAGATTTGAAAAGGGCATTGGAGGAGCAATATGGTGGTGAAGAAGAGGTTGGCATATTCTTGCTACATTTTCTATGATTTGAAAAGGGCATTGCCCCCTGGCATTGCCTACCTCTTGTCTTGTCTGACATATTTGTCTGGGTGTCATTACAGCTACCACAGACTAATCCTGGTTTCAATAACCCTCCATTCAAATTCACAAAGTATTCGAATGCATATATGCTTGTATATATCCGGGACAGTGACAAAGATAAAATAATTTGCAACGTCGATGAGAAAGACATTGCTGAACACTTAAGGGTAAAATATATTCTGGCATTTTCCCAGTAAAGTGCGTCTTTGTTCAACCTGATCGAGTCATTACATTTTTACAGGTGAGGCTGAAGAAGGAACAAGAAGAAAAGGAAGACAAAAGAAAATACAAGGCACAAGCTCACCTTTTTACGATAATTAAGGTTTGTTATTCCTGTTTAATTGGGACTCCTAAAAACAATTAGCTGGTTTAAAGTGTAGTTTTGACACTGTTGTTACTAATAAAATTTCTGTTAACATGATAGGTTGCAAGAGATCAAGACCTTAAGGAACAAATTGGGAAGGATATATATTTTTATCTTGTTGATCATGACAAAGTTCGTAGTTTCCGGATCTAGAAACATACACCATTTCAACAGTTACTTGCCAAAATATCTTAAATTTTTGTTTTAAAAAAGAGGAAGGAATCCTTACATCTGTTGAAGAAATGGATTATGTGAAAACGGTCTTTTGGGTAACTCTGTGCTATCTTGAAGACGAAAACAACTGATCTGGATTCCAAGAGAACTTTCACATTGCTGCTGATTAGATGGTTTTTATGTTACTGCAATTTAAACATTTGTCATCTTTGACCCAAATCTTATGGTAATACAGGAGGAGGTGGCCAAAGAATTTGGTATACCTGTCCGTGTCAGAGGTTCTGGATTTAGGCAAAGCGACAAAACCATACCTATCGTCCCAATCGCCCCCTTACACCTCAGGAGGAATTACAACCGGTATTGTTATCCATCTCATTGCTATTGATGCATGTAGTTTGCTCTCTCGTTTTCTGGACATTTGAATTATAGCCAAGTAATACTCCTACTATTATAGAATCTGATATTCTGCTAGCTTTTTTATATCTATTTTATAATCATTACATCTAATTATCTAATTTTTCGGTTTTAAGTGTCTCTGCTCCAATTGTTAGGAACCTGTTTTCTATTAAGCTTCTCCGTTTACTCTGAAATGAAATTTCCATGTTGGCCGCTAGAAACTTTATTTTTGTAACGTAGTATTTATATGAGATTCCCTTGCTAATACCTTTATGTGAAACATGTATGAATGTTTGTAATTTGGAAAATGGGTTTCGTAGGTTGGACAAATTAGAGAAGCATCTAACAAGGCAAACACTGCAGAACTTAAGCTGTTTTTGGAAGTAGAACTACTGGTAAGAAATGGTTGCAAAGTGTTATTGTTGAAGCCTTTAACGTTGAAAAAATCAGAAGCTGATCAATAGGAAATGTGAGCTAATTTTTTTGCTTATTCTTGTTAAATTAGGATGAACGTCCTATTCCTCCTCCTGAAAAATCAAAAGAAGATATTCTTCTTTTCTTTAAGCTTTATGACCCCGAGAAGCCAGAGTTAAGGTAATATTTTTCCCACATATTCTTTCGTCGCTCTAACTTCTATGTTAAGTGGATTTTAGTTGGTAGTGTGTCAGTAGCACAAACTGACTCGAGATGTAAATATTAACTCTTCAAATGTCCTACCGTGTAATATTCTCTTATATGAGACCTTTCTTGCCTTGTTTGAACCCATTTGTCTTAGGTCTATTTTATTTTTTCCACTGCACCTAATTTTCTTTTGCAATATTTTTTTTCTTGTGCTACCAGGTATGTTGGCAGACTGATGGTGAAAAGTTCCAGTAAGCCTATGGATATAACTGGAAAACTAAATGAAATGGCTGGCTTTGCTCCTGATGAAGAAATAGAACTTTATGAGGTTTTGCTGCTTCCGCTGCCTCTTAACCTTATCTGCACCATGATTATGGCTATTTATTATGTTATTTAACTAACGTCTTATTTGCAGGAAATCAAGTTTGAGCCTGGTGTTATGTGCGAACACCTGGATAAGAAAAAATCATTCAGATTGTGTCAAGTAATGTTTCACTCGTATCTACAGAATTTTTTCAGTCTCGTGTCTCTTTTGTGACTTGGGTTTCTTGCCTTCAGATCGAAGATGGAGATATCATTTGCTTTCAGAAACCTCTTGTTAACAAGGAGATTGAATGCCGCTACCCAGCTGTGCCTTCGTTTCTTGAATATGTCCAGAATCGACAGGTATAATTCGAAGCACTGGCTCCTAAAGTCACGCTTGGTACTGTGGTAAATAAGCGTTAAATGATTTAGGCTGGTCTGGTAGAGTGGTCTCATGAAGCACTCTGAAAATCACTGGTCATATTATTTTTGTACCACATGTTCCTAATATTGTGATAAAATCAGAGCAGAATGTATGCTGATATCCAACTAGTTCTTTCAGTTGTGCTGGCAATATAGTATTCCTTATTTTGAGCATTCGTCTATAGCTTGCGACTAACTTTTGCAGTTTGTGATATTGTAGCTGGTCCGGTTTCGTGCTCTGGAGAAATTTAAAGAAGATGAGTTTGTTCTGGAGTTGTAAGTACATCTGTGGACGGATTTGTTTCAGCTGATTTTGGAGGAAATCATAATTTTTATTTTATTTCTCAGGTCAAAATTGCACAGTTATGACGATGTTGTCGAAACAGTGGCACAGAAGCTTGGTCTTGACGATCCATCCAAACTTAGGCTTGCATCTCACAATTGCTACTCCCAGCAACCCAAGCCTCAGCCTATCAAATACCGTGGGGTAGACCGTTTGTCAGACATGTTAGTTCACTACAATCAGGTACTTGACGTGAAGTTTAGTGAACTTAATTATTTCTTCTTACTAAAGAATGCATTTTGCTTATAAATTTTTTTTTTTTCTTTCAGACGTCTGATATTTTGTATTATGAAGTTCTTGACATTCCTCTTCCAGAATTGCAAGGTCTTAAAACCTTAAAAGTTGCTTTCCATCATTCCACGAAGGAAGAAGTATGTCTAGGCTTTTATTTGTGATTCATAGTATTTTTTCTTTTGCATACTGGTTCATTTTCAAGCCTTTTAACCATCACTGCACAGGTAGTAATCCACACTATCAGACTACCTAAACAGAGCACAGTCGGAGATGTTATCAATGAACTAAAAAAAAAGGTAAATGGCTGGCTGGTTTACTTTCTGAAGTAGCTGGTGTATTCTTCTTTTTGTTTGATCTCTGGATTGTGTGTATATATCACTGTGAAAACTATATTTTAAAATGACAATTCGATGAAATTGAAGGCATCCAGGTTATAGGGTGCATGTATTAATGACCACCATGTTTGTTACCTAGGAAAAATCGTTTTCCAGGCTTTAGGCTACATTAATTACAAATTCGATGGTATGCAAGTTAATCTAAGGTTATGCTTGATACAGGTGGAGCTCTCGCATCCAGATGCAGAACTGAGAATACTTGAGGTGTTTTACCACAAGATCTACAAGGTAACAAACGGCTCTTATTTTCTACATTGTAGTCAATAATTTGACGATCCTAAGATGATGGCTGTTCGAGTATTTCTCCTCGTGAAATTTTTACAACCCTATCATTTACAGTGAGCATTAATTCAAGTTGCTGCTGGTATGTTGTGCAGATTTTTCCGTTAACTGGAAGAATTGAGAATATAAATGACCAGTACTGGACTTTGCGAGCTGAGGAGGTATGCTAATGCTACTAGGCTGCCTTAGATATTGAACTAAAGAGATTGCATAGTTATTCCTTGGGTATAACTGACTCGTGTCAATCTAAATCTCAGATTCCGGAAGAAGAGAAAAACATTGGTCCAAATGATCGCTTAATTCTGGTGTACCACTTTGCTAAGGAGACTGGACAGAATCAGGTGATAATCAGCTATCAAGTTTTTGTTATCTAACTGTTTTACTAGTTGTAGCAAAGTGTCTTAACAGTATCATGTTTGTTTGTTCCTCAGCAAGTGCAAAACTTTGGGGAGCCCTTCTTCTTGGTAATCCATGAAGGTGAGACTCTTGAAGAAATCAAGAACCGTATCCAAAAGAAGCTTCATGTATCAGATGAGGACTTTGCCAAGGTATGTACACGACTGAGTAATGATCAAAAGCTAAATAAATGAATCTGTAATTCATGTGGAAACTGGTACAATTCTAATATTTTTCATTCTGTCATATACAGTGGAAGTTTGCGTTCATGTCAATGGGACGTCCTGAGTATTTGCAGGACTCAGATGTTGTTTACAATCGCTTTCAGGTGTTTACTTCTCCACCTCTAGTTTTCTAGAAAAATATGCTGCTAAAATCTGAGATCTAACTATTGTTTTTTCCTTGGGTGAACAGAGAAGAGATGTCTACGGAGCTTTTGAGCAGTACTTGGGGTTGGAGCACACTGATACTACTCCTAAGAGGGCTTACGCTGCAAATCAGGTGACATTTTCATGATAAATAGATTCTTTCTCCTAAGGAGGTGTAACCATCTCTTTTACTAATTTATGTTTGTTTGCCTTGTCCTTGTAGAACCGACATGCTTATGAGAAGCCGGTGAAGATATACAACTAGCCGGGGGAAAAAAAAAATGTCATCAAGATATTGTGGCAGCAACGTTGGACAAGGGCATCGAATAAGAGATGGAAAGACCGATTGTGAGGTGACGATGACCGACCGTAGGATGTTTGTAGGAGAATTTGGTCTGAACATGATTTTGTGTTGCGCATTGATGGTGTGTTTTTTTTATATCTTTCTTTCGTGCTTCAATACTTTTTTGTGTTAATCTATATGGAATGTGCGAGACTTATTCGCACATCTTGCAATTTTTATTTTCGAAAAAAAAAAAGAAGATGGAAGAAGCCCGTCGCTTGGAATCGGGAGTTTATAGAATAGCGAAACATTTGTAACTTCTAGAAATTTGGGGTTTAAGAAGATTTTTTCTGACTGGCCTGTCTAGTTATTGTAATTGTTTTTGATTTTTCAATAGTTAATTACGGTTTGCTTTGTCAAAATCAGATGGATACGTTTCCCAGTTCAACATCATCTGAAAGGGGCATTGATTATAGGCACTAATCAATAGAGAAAAGCTGTGAGGAATTTAAAGCATTTCCAAAAGACAAAGGATTTGTCATAAAAGATCAACCTCTCTGGCCAGTCTCAGCCTTATACTATAAAATCATAACACACACATATCGAAAAGACTGAGAGATAATTGCAAAGTTGGTTTAATTTACAAATTTAGTAATTGGTTCTGGCAAGAGGTATCTACACTCTTTTTAAAAAGGGAAACCAGATAAGCTGACCTGTACATTCCGCAGGTAAAAAGACACCTCACCAACCCAAAATCTCAGCCGTTGATCTCAATCTTAAACTCATCCTCACCGTTGGACTACTCGAACGTACCAAAAATAGCCTTAGTCGTCACTGTCACCAGGGCTCCACGGTAGAAACAAAAGAAGAAGAAAAATCCCTTCCTGTCGATGGATTCATATCAGATTTTAAAAATTTGAAAGTTAAAAAACAGAGGGAAAAACGAAGACTAATTATCTCTTCTTCTTCTTCTTCTTCGTTTCCACGATTTTGTTGTTGTTTACCTCCAATTCCAAACGAACGCTATTCTCTTTATATATATTTGCCTTTTTCTCTTTTTACTTTTTTTTTTTCCCAGAAAGTCGAAAAGAGAGATAAAAGTTATTGAATTCACAGAGAGGAGAAGAGGAGATAGAGATATTCATTCTTAGCTTCTCTGCTTTCTACTTCATCTTGTTTATCCGTTGGAAATCTCGAACGTTTCCTGTTCTTCTTGATGATCGAAGGTAACTCTCTCGATTTGAGCTAAATTGATGATTTACATGAGAGAGAGAGAGAGAGAGCTAAGCTAAATCACGAGAACCTCATGCTGCTTTCGCAGGATTCAGCTTCAACCTTGGTGAAACTCTTTTACTTATGTTAGTTATATGAAATTGTGAATTGAATAACTAACTCTGCACCAAACAAACTCTCATGGATACGATCAAATGCTGTGACTGTGGATGCGATTGCTCACACGAGAAACCATTCGATTCCTTCTCCTCTTCCAACGTCAAAGTCCAAATCGAGAAGGAATGCCAACTCCTACGCGAAACCGTCACCACTCAACAGCAATCGATCCAAGACCTCTACGCCGAGCTCGACGAAGAGCGTAACGCCGCTTCCACCGCCGCGAACGAGGCCATGTCCATGATCCTGAGGCTACAGAGAGAGAAAGCCGAGATCGAGATGGAGCTGAGGCAGTTCAAGCGATTCTCAGAGGATAAGATGGAGCATGATCAGCAAGTGCTTTTGGCTCTTGAAGATTTGGTGTATAAGAGAGAGCAGACGATTCAGGCTTTGAACTGTGAGGCTCAGGCTTATAGGCATAGGATGATGAGTTTTGGTGTTAGTGACGCTCATGATTATGATTATCCTTCTCTTAAGTGTAGTTTGAATGAGAATCCAGTGGAGGATGATGTTGATGTTGATGTTGAGAAGTATACATTGACTGATTCGCCACGTGGCGGCGGGGGGAATTTGAAGGGTTTGGAAGTTAGGATTAGTGAGATGGAGAGGGTTCCTAGTCAGAGACATTTCAGGAAGGTTTCCACTGGTAGTTCAAGTTCACTTTTGGGAACTAATAGGGACCAAAGGCCTGGTTCCAACTGTGGTAATAAGGGTGGTTCATTAGAAACAGGGGATAATGAGATGGATGATAGAGTCTATACCATTGATTCTGTTCATCAGGGTGCTTTTGAGGAGAAGGTTAAGGGGGGTGACATAGTTGATGATGCTGATATAGTGAAACTATACGCGAGGCTTCAAGCATTAGAGGCTGATAGGGAATCTATGAGGCAGGCGATTGTGTCGATGAGGACTGAGAAAGCTCAGATGGTTCTCTTGAAAGAGATTGCGCAACATTTGTCAAAGGATGTTGTTATTCCAGAACGGAGATTGCCTCTGCGGAAAGCATCTATTGTTGGAGTTTTCAGTTTCCTATCTGTCTTTAAGGTGGTTTTCTTTTTAGTGAATTGTGATCTTTAATTCGTAACTGTTTTGTGTACTCGTGAACTGATTTTTTCCCTTGATTATTATTCCTATGCAGTGGATCACATCTTTTGTTTTCTGGAGAAAGAAGGCTCGTCGAAGCAAGTAAGCAACTTACAGTCTTGAAAACTTTGCATAGCTTATGGGACCTGAGTTTTGAGTTTGTAGCAGCACTACAAAATGAATATAATTGCAAAATAACAAACGACAAAAAGGTCCTTGTATAGACTTAAAGACTTTTGCGTTTCAAATGGTAAATGCAGGTACATGAATGGGATGCAAGTGAACAACATGGGCTTGGAAATGCTTCTAGAAAACACTCCTCGGATAAGGCAATGGAGATGTCTTTCAAGCACGCAAGTGTGACCTTTGATCATGTTATCCAACTAGGTGAATGTGAAGCGCTTAATGTGTATACTGTGGGGCCCTGCAATCTCCTGCTTCATGGTTGCTGAGAATAATGTTTTCTCATGTGCAGTTTTTTTAAAAATTCTTTCCTTCTTTTATGTTTATTCTTGTTGTTGGGGTTGGAATATGCATAATGTCATCATGAATGGGGTTTGATTATTGTGTGGATACTTGTAAGCTGTGTTAATATTTCCACATTCTTGTTTGGGTTCTCTCTGGTTATAGGAAGCTTTAGTGAGTGTTGTATATTGATCGTCAAAGTTCTCAATCCTCCTTAGTGAAGCTACCATCAATCAAAGGGTCACTTCTGCAGGGTGGAAAACCTAAATAAATAATAATATTTATCAAAATCAAATCTATTACGGTTCAACCAGAGAGATTTTGCTTTGGTTTTGTTCCTATTTGCTGTTCTGGGGCAGGTTACAGTGAGTCGCGTAATACTTGTGTTATGTATGCTTTAGTCATGTAAATTTTTTAAAATATTAAAATATTAAATTGTAATCTCATATTACAGTTATATTCTTAATTTATCAATCTTATCAAAATATCATCTTTTATAAGAGTTATAAATGTGCTGTAATGATTCAAATTCAGTGATAATGTTACTTCCTAAGTATATATTTTTCATTATTGTTTTATTCATACATACGGGCATAAATTTTTTACATATACTTATTAGTTTATATTTTGTTAATTCAAAAATCAGTATAATGAATTATTATTTATGTTTTCAAAAAGTGAGGTCACAGATTAAATTAATGGTAAATGACGACACGCACATATCAAAAATATTTAGAAAATATACTATTCAAATGTTTTTGCTTAATTTATACTTAATTAATTTTTTAAATATTGTAATAGAAAATACATTTCCAAGATAACGACAAAAATAATAAGAATTTTGCTATTTTCTAACATATAATATTATTAATCTAAATTTATTTTAATTATATAATAAGTTAGATATAGAATTAATAAAAACATCACAAATAAAAAAAATATTTAAAAATCATGAATAAGTTGACAAATCATCAATTTTCTTTTTTTGGTAAAAATGTTAAGTAAAAATCATCAAATTTACTTCTCAAATGATAGCATAGTTACATTTTATAATAGAAAAATAATAAAGATTATCAAGATAATAACATAATAAAAATAATGATCTTATTTTATAAAAATATAATGTTCTCAGTATACGTTTTTTATTAAATAATAAATTATATATAAAAATATCAAAATTAATAAACAGTGTTTGGTGTGAGCGAAACAGCCACAAGCACAACAGTGTCTCTTGCAGTACACAAAAGCTCTTGAAGAACAAATAAGATGATTATAAACATAGTCTCCTCTTTGCGTCAAAAAATATGGCCTTCTACAGCAACATGATGATCGAGTCAACGGAAAAAAACCACATAATTTTTATTTGCCCCAGAGCATATTGTTTTAGACATACCAAAGTTTCCAAACTCTGTCTTATTGTAACCATTTTTTATTGATAAATAAATTTAACATTTTAACAAAAAATTATTATATTTAGAAAATATATTTATACAAGTATTTTTGCTTTATTTATATTTAGTTATAACTTTATATCTTAACTTTAAAATTTATCAGAGAAAATATATTTTTAAGATAATAACATAAAAAATAAAAATTATTTTATTTTCTAAAAAATATAATAATACAGATCGGACAATTGAAAATATGCCCAACACGGATCCAAGGGCTATAAAAATATATTCCCTCTCATGCGTAAAGTCAGTTTCTTTATTAAAAGAGAAATATCAAAATTTATCTATTATTTAAAAAGTTATGTTGGATTATGTCATTAATTATTTAATTTGACATATTTGATTGCTACATTAACCAGTCAAATATATATTATTTTCAAAATATATTAATAATTAATAAATATATTAATAATAATTAAATTTTAAATAGAGTCAATTAGGTGAATATACATAAATTGAATCAAAATTAGGTAACTACCTAAAAGAAAAAAAAATGTAGTTTACTGTAGATTTTAAGCTTTGAACTTCCGATTCTAAACCCTAGACTCATCTCTATCACCATTATCTTTTTTTTCTATCTGTCGAGTTTCTTTCTTCATCTCTTTTTATTCAACTTTTTCATCTAATCTCCAGTCCTCAATTCCACACAATTCTATGTTTTAATTGACAAGAATGGACAGTTTTATATTTTAGTTTAAAAGTTATTTAATATATGTTAATATTACAAAATCCTTACAATTAAATAATTAGGAAAAAAGAAGTTTTTGATTGTCGAGTCTTTTCTCTTCAAACAAGTCTTTTCTCTTCAAATAACGACAAGATCGGAGGAGGAGGAAGAGGAGGAGGGGGAGGGGGAGGGGGAGGGGGAGGAGGAAGGGGGAGGACGAGGAGGAGTGCGAGAAGGAGGAAGAAGAGGCGGAGAGGGAGGAGAAGGAAGGGGGGGAGGAAGAGGAGGGGCAAGGGGAGGAGGAGGAGGAGAATTGACGAGAATTTTTGACAATCAACAAAGAAGATGATATGGTGAAAAAAAAGAAAAGAATCAGTTGGGAAAAGAGAAGAAAGAGAGTCAGAAAATAGGCGCAAACTTGAAATTTATAAAATATAAATAGTGAAAATGCATTCAGCTAATTATGGTTTTTCTTGTGTATAGAACCTAATTTATCTTTTAAATATAACAAAATCTATTGAAAAAATCTAACAAGATCTTAACAAAAAATTTAAATATTTTTTATAACATAAGTATCTTTATTTTGTCATTAGATATAAGTATAATTAAAACTAAAATATAAATCATATATTTAAAATTTTTAGTTCTATATATTTACAATGAAAAATATATCCGCATGGATGTGTGGGTGAAACTCTAGTTATAGATTAGATACATCTCTTAGCGGAGCAGCAGCTTCTCTGATCCTTTTGTGAAGACACATTCTTTTTTTTTTTGGCGACAACCCATTTAATCTAGATCAAGTGGTAGCCATACGAGTCGATCCTCCGGGGAGAATCTCCGTGTGGCCTGGTCTGATCTATATGGGAGAAGGTATATCCTCTCATCCTTGCTTCCTTGGCTAGTGCGTCTGCTCGAGTGTTCCTACTCCGAGGAATATGATACATACTCATATCCTCGAAGCTCTCATGTAGTCGCTGAAGCATCTCGATTTCAGTTGCGAAGGTCGGCCATTCCTCCGGGTTAGTAAACATGTCTACTAGGTCGGAGCAGTCCGTTTCTATCCGTATCGAGGATATCCTCATATGCCTCACACATGACACAGCCCAGAGTAGACCTTCCATCTCGGCATGCAAAGCTGATTGGTTCCTTCTACATGCCCGTAATCCGAAGCATTCAGAACCCATTTGATCTTTGAGACTCCACCCTAAACCACTAACACTGCCATGGTCGGTCCATGATGCATCGATTTGGCAGATTAGGGTTTGGGGGGGGGGGCCAAGGGGGCTCTGTCGCAACCTCTACCAGGGGAGGACCCTCATAGACCTCCTCATCCTCCTCCCTCACATTTGCCTTCCTCCAACATTCAGCCTCTAACGACGCATGTTGGAGAGTATCCATTGGGGAGACGGCTTTCCCGTTGAAGAGTATGTCGTTCCTTGCCTTCCAAATGTACCAACAGATCCATGGGAAGGTATCGAATTGTGGTCTCCGAGGAGCCACCTCTTTTCTTTTCCAAAAGAGGAAATTGATATTTTGATATAAAGATGTACTCGGGAAGACACCCGGAATGGACGGATAGTCCGATAAAGCCCAGACCTGTACGGCAGGGGGACACTCAAAAAGAAGATGGTTAATCGACTCCACTGGGGCAGCACATCTAGGACAACTCCTATCGGTGCCCAGGTGTTTTATAGGTAAGCCTCTCTGCCGTCGCCACACAGCCCTTGATCACTTGCCACAAAAAATGCTTCATCTTGTTTGGTGTCTCTAGCCTCCACACATGACTTAAAAGGCCAGTGGTGCTTGGTTCAAGGATCAAATCTTGAGAATTGCTTTTCTTATTTGATTGGAGTAGGTCATACCCAGTTTTTACTGAGTATACTCCTGTCTTTGTAAGGTTCCAAATATACCCATCCGAGGAAGAGGAAGAGGAAGAGGAAGGTTTGATCCCAAGTATTAGAGGGATATCCTCTGGCTGGAAGTAATCTCGTAAACGTTGTATATCCCACTCCCTGGTATCATTCCTAATCAAGGCCTGAACAGGAAGTTGGGGAAGTCTATAGACAATATGATCGGCAGGTCTAGGTGGTCGGGCCACTGTATCAGGGATCCAATGGTCAGTCCACACCTTCGTGTCTCGACCCGAACCAATCCTCTTCCGTAATCCCGAAAGGAGCAGAGGTTTCGAAGCCATAATACTACGCCAGCTATATGAGGGCGAGTATGTCCGGTTGTCGTCCAAAGGAGAGGTATTTTTGTAGTACCTTCCTTTTAGAACACGCGCTAATAAGGATGTAGGATAGTGAATCAAACGCCATAATTGTTTTGCAAGAAGTGCTAAGTTGAAATCATGAAGGTCATAAAAACCTAGTCCCCCTAAATCCTTAGGGGTACAGATCTCGTCCCATGAAATCCAATGTAGTCCTCTGCTGTTCTGTTTAGAGCTCCACCAAAAATTTGAGGTCGTAGTTTTTAATTTATCAGTAACACCTTGGGGTATCAGGTAGCACGACATTGGGTATGTTGGAACAGCTTGGGCCACAGCTTTAATCTGAACCTCTTTTCCCCCTTTGGACAGGAGTCGCGATGACCAATTGTTCACTTGTCCATTCAGCCGATCTTGTATATAGGAAAAAACTTTTGTCTTCGAACCACAAATTAGTTCGGGTAAACCAAGGTACATCCCCATCCCTCCTTCATTTGAGAAACCCAGGATCTCTTTTATTTCTTGTTTCCGGGATTGGTCCACACGGTTCCCAAAGAACATAGAAGATTTCGCCGCATTTAGTTTTTGTCCCGATGCTTGTCCATAGATGTTAATAATGTCCATGATTTCCTTGCATTGGCTGACTTCTGCCTTGCAGAAAAAAAGACTGTCATCCGCGAATAGAAGATGGGAGGTCCTTGGGCTTCCCTGAGCCACTCGGAGTCCTATAATTTTCTTCTCTGCTTCTGCTCCATTTAGAAGCGAAATCAAGGCTTCCGTACACAGAATGAATAGAAAGGGGGATAGGGGGTCTCCTTGTCTCAGGCCCCTCCTCGGTAGGATCCGCCCTCTCGGTTGTCCGTTGACTAGAACTTGATATGAGACCGACGTGACACACCACATAATGAGGTCAACCAGTCGTGCATCAAAGCCCATCTTTAACATCAGGGACGTCAGGAAACTCCATTCCACTCTATCATAGGTTTTACTCATGTCTGTCTTAATGGCCATAAAATCTACTCTGCATCGATTGTTTGTTCTTAAAGCATGGAAATTCTCTTGTGCTATCAGAACATTGTCCGTGATCAAACGTTTTGCCACAAAGGCGGATTGTGTCTCTGAGATCAGTCTTGGTATCAGCCTCTTAAGTCTCTTGCATAAAAGTTTAGATATAATCTTATAGCTAACATTGCAGAGACTAATAGGTCTGAACTCAGACATCTCTCGGGGTTTCTTCTTCTTAGGAATGAGACAGATATTTGTCTGATTCAGAAGAGGGTCAAAACTTCCAGATGCAAAGAAATCTTGTACAAGTCTGATAATATCTTGTCTCATCTCGATCCAGAACTTTTGGAAAAGCTTACTAGTCATTCCATCCGGTCCAGGAGCTTTGTCCGGGTTTATCTGAAAAAGAGCTTTTCTAATTTCATGTTTCGACGGTACCGCTAAGAGTAGCCTATTGTCGGCCTGAGACACTTTTTCTGAAATGAACCGTAGGGAGGTATCCACATCCGTTGGCGAGGAAGTAGAGAAGAGATCTCGAAAGTATTGAATAGCTACATTCTCCACTTCGATTTCACTCTCTACTATCCGCCCATGCTTATCCTTAATGCTTATGATTCGATTTTGAGATCTGCGTTGCTTCGTAGTGGCATGGTGAAATTTTGTATTTCTGTCCCCGTGTTTATGCCATTGATCCCGGCTTTTTTGTTCCCAAAAAGTATTTTCTTCCTTAAAAGCCATTATCAACTGTCTCCTTAAGTCTTCCAAATCCTCTGTCGTGGCATTCTCATCATCTTGAGCAATGTCAATCTTGTGTTTTAATTCCTCAATCAAGGCAGCTGAGTTGGTTGGGTTATCCTTCTTCCAGGTACTAATCTTATGTCGACATGAGGTAACTTTTTGGTGAAAATTCCGGATTGGAAATTCGTCAAAAGGTCCCCATCCCGAAGTCACCGCTTCCTTGAAGCCAGGTTTCCCTATCCACCTTTTGTCAAATCTGAAATTCTTCCTTTTTCTTCTGGTGATGGATTGGATCCTTGTAAGAACTGGTCTATGGTCCGACCCCCATAATTGCAGGTATTCAACGATGCTATGGGTAAAGAGGGTATGTCAATCCGCATTTGCCACAACTCTATCTAGCTTACATTTGTGAAGACACATTCAAAGCAAGAACTAAGAACATTTTTAAGGGGTATGGGTTCCATAAAAAACTAAAATCTATTCCTTCTACTTCTTCTGAAAGAGGTGATTTTTGGGAAATTCTTGTACTGTCCGTATGTCGTATTGATATGTGGCGATCCGCGATTACTTACGGTTTAATTTTTTTTTTTTAAATTAGAAAAAAAAAATCTCTTAAAGAGTTTTAGTGTTAATGATACGGATGCATGTTTGGATAGGGATCTCAAAACTTTTTAGAGTTTCCCGAAAAAGAAAAGGAAAAGAATGTTGAAACAGCCTTGAGACTTTCCATTTTATTTGAGGATCCAAAGGGCTATAAAAACATGCCTTCTCTCATGGGTAAAGGCATTATAGATTAGATCGATCTTTTCTCAGTGAGCAGCAGCCTCCTAGAAGACACATTGAAAGCAAGAACTAAGAACCCTAGAAACTTAAATTTCTAAAAAAAAAAAAAAAGAACCCTAGAAACTCTCCAATTCATCTCCGTAGAGAGAGCCATGGGGGAAGACGAGACGGTGGATTTTGAGTCGTGTAAGATCTCCTCTCTCTCTCTCTCCATTGATTGTTTAGATTTCATCATCTTGATGCGAGATTATAGCAAAGTAATAGTGGTGTTTTTTTTTATAAAAAAAATTGTATTTTCCGTGTAGTGAAGCAGACATACGTGTTCTGGAACATAGATGACTACCCAATCGCTGTTGATGGTAGCGTTGATGTTGGTTCTGTTTTTGATGATATGTTAAAAGCTCTTGATATAATGGGCTTTCGTGATCAGCACATGACTGTGATGATGTATTCTGAGCAACTCAACTACGACAAAAAAGACTTGTGCGACGCTGAAGTAATCCGTCCCTACTTACACCAAAGTAAGTAAATTTCTCTATCACAACAACAGTACTCTCTCGTCGTTTCTGTTTTAATTATAATAAATCTAATCTGAGAGTTGAGTTGTTTTGTTTTTTATAGGTGGTTCTTATTCTTATGCGTCCTTTCTTTATAAAGTGCCGGCCATCACTGTGGATATGATTCGTCGCGCAACAATGCTTGGACCAGGACCAATAAATTTTTGGGTAATCGCAAAACCAAAAAGAGAGTTAGAGAGGGTTCTGCAGTGTTTGAAATCTAGGCGTCACAATGTTCTGCGATGTCCTTTTCGGCCTGATGTAGACGAATTTCTCTTTAGTGTAGACTCTCTGCTTGAGAATTCACGACTCTTAGGGGGAGGAAAGCCAAGATTCAAAGATTTGTATCCTAATGCATATTATGAGTATGATATGTACGAAGAAAAGTATGTAGAGATCAAAGAAGATGTCTCCAAGACGGTAGATTTCTCCGGTAATTAAGACCCATTAATTCCCAAAATTGTTTGTTTTAGATATCCATCCATTCACATTAAATATTTTATTTTTTATTAACCTCTTTCTCTCTGTTGCCATCTCTCAGAGCGTATCCCAACCATCATAGGGGCTAGGACAGCCGTCTTCTGGGATGCCGTGGATTGTCCATTCCCTCTTGGTTCCACTCCTGATGAGATCTACAACTCTATCTCATCAGCTCTTGTGGCAAGGGACTTTAGTGATAACGTGACAATCTGGGCCTATCTTGATGATGATCATGATAACAAGAGGGATGCCTTACTGGGTGCTGACAAGACGTGGGCTTCTAGAATCTACTTTCTCCCCGGAGGTGAGAGAGATTTCACACTCTCTTTTTTTCCTTCCTTATAATCTACACTATATATTGTAATAACTTTTTATATTTTATTTTCCAGGGGATAAAGCCTCGAGACGTATCAGAATGTTAAATGACATTTTTTTGTGGATGAGGGACTCTCCCAGGACGACCTGCGGGCCTTATGAAGCTAGTGTGGTCCTAGTCGCAGACCAGTTCAAAGATGACGCTTACTACGTCCATATGCTTCAAAAAGTGCATGACATGCGTTACGATCTTATCTTCGTCACTCCAACTTCCCACATCAACAAACCAGAAAGCCCTGAATGGCCTGGGTTGCTTATTGATAAAGGCGCAGCCTGTTTTGCCGAACCTAGTCCCCAAAAGCTTGAAGCCGATGCTGCTGCTGCTGCGGCGGCCCAAGAAGAAGAAACACCTGAGATGCTTCCAGTTATGAGTAGTGACTTGGAGGAGGATTACAGTCGTCCCTGCCGTTTTGGTGATGATGAAACAAGCAGCGAAAGCTCTGATGATGAATACCTGCTGCTTCATGACACTCTTCCCTTGGAGCCTGAGGACATGAACATGCAAGAAAGCGATGAATGGCCAGGCTCTGAAGAAGCTTGTCCTGAAAAGAATAATGAAGCCGAAGAAGAAACAACAACAACAACAACAACTGCCAAGTTTGATCCCATTTATCGCTGGGATCCTATTAATATGTGTTACAATCTATACGAGGAGGAGGATGAAGCCGATGATGCCAAAGAAGAAACAACTGACATACTTGTTGACCTGTATCGCTGGGATCCTTTTACTATGACGATGAACAAATTCAAAAGCCTTGGAGGAGGAACAGGGCGGCAAATAGATGGAGGATCAGGCTGGGGAAACTCTGAAGAACCTTATCTCAAAAAGCATAAAGCCAATGCGGCCGAAGAAGAAACGTCTGATGCGGCCGAAGATACCCCTTAGGTGGTCGGGACTAGCTAGTTTCGATGAAAAAAAATTAATTTCTCTAACTTTTAAAATAGTTTTCCGTCACTCCACACAGTTTTTGAGGAGAGTAATTAGTTTTTTTTTTTTTTTGTCAATTTTCTCTTTTCATTAGAGAAGCCCAAATGCAATTACATTAAGACCAACAAGAATAAAAGTTCGAGAATCTAACACTATTAAAATGGGCAAATGAAGCCCTCTCACCCTATCCACATCACCAATTATAATTGGCCAATAGTACGGCTTTAAACAGCCACATCAGATTGGTTTGGGTCTGCGAAAATTGATTTCGTTTTTGGACCAAAATCTACACGGTTTGATTTCGGTTGGATTTATTATTTGCATTTAGTTTGAGCCTGCGATATCTGTCGGTTTTTATTTGATGTCATTTTGGTTTGGGCTTATTATTTGCATTTAGTTTCAAATTATTTTTTTCCTACTTTTTTAGATTGTATGATTTTAACAGAAGTTATATACCACTTTTAAAAAAAAATTAAAAAAATTAAAAAAGTAATATTCCAAATTATTTCATACAACATAAATGCCCAGAGAACCTAACCAATAACCAACAAAAATATATAACTAAATGTTTAACATTATGCTATTATTACACCCAAAAATACTAACACATACATATTTAAAAAGAGATTAAATAGTAACAACATTTAAAAAATTACTTAAGATGAAAAATTCACTACCCATAATATACCCTGATAATTAGTTCATACTAAAGATAAAAAATTCATAAAGTCCATTTCTCCATATTTAATCTTTTTTAACCTACAATAATTTTCAAATATTGAATTCCTAATTTCAATTTTTTTTAAAAAAAATTGTAGGCCAATCTTCCATAGATAACATCCATCAAAAAATCCACCAACTTGAAGAAGGGTTTTCAGTGCGTTCTATAAAAGTATGTGTAAAGAGTATTTGGGACATAAATATTCACAAACCAGGAAATACCCAACCATGCTACGGCTTCATATGCTATGACCACAACGTAAGCCCCAAACTACCATTTGTAACATACATATATATTTCTACACAGTGTGACATATTTTGATCTGATAAGATCAATTTATTATCATTCAGGGACAATTATTGGAAGGAGATATGTATGAATTCTTAGGATTCTCGGTCGTACATAATTCCCGTGAACGGAAATTAACACAACTCCCGTACTACATTCAGATCGGCCAAGAGAAGAGAATGTCAAATGTTACTTTCACAGGTACGATCTTTCCACCATACAGTTTCTCTCATCAGAAATACAGATCTCTACTGAGATTAGCCACAAACCCTATCTACTTACCGGCTATGTCACTCATCAAGCTTTCAATTAAAAGCTTTTAATCTTTTTTTCCTTAACAATAAAACATGTAATGTGCAGATGTGGTCGGGCAAATACGAATGATGCAAGAAACAAGACCACACAACCCATAAGTTGAATAAAAAAGTCACAATTGGTCTAATGCTGAACGGCTCAGAAATGGTTAGGCTCACGCTATGGAACAAACCCGCAACAGAGTTTATCATCCTACAAAGCAAGAATGATAGGAAATTTAAAGTTGTCATCATCACTAGCATAATACCAAAAATTTATCAAGGTAAATAAGTTTTAATATTAAACATATGAAGTATAATTTTTTAGGGCTTTTAACCATGCAGCAAAAACTATTTAAAATTTCTTCGCAGGAAAACTAAAACTCGCTTCATCACCAGCAACAACTTTTTACTTTCAGAAATCGATCCATCAAGAATTACAGAGGACGGATCAGAGGTCATCGACATGCCTAAAAAATACTCAAACCATCCCTCAGTTTTCTAGATACTTGGTTTTCTTTTTACTTTCAAAACACTTCATCATTGGATTGTAATTTTTAAAAGGTCGCAATCCTTAACTCATTACGCTGCATTGAGAATTTAGGATTTAGTCATTGGATTATATTATTTAAATTTAAATCTTAGGCATCTTAGGTATTTTTTTATTAAAAAAAAAATCACCCAAACAAACCGGGCGTAGCCCGGGAAACGGATCTAGTGGTATTAAAAATTGAAGAGAAATACCATGGGATAGCTCTAAAAAGAGTTTCATAAAGTAGTTTCTCTTTTTCACTTTTCTATTGTACAAACTTAATGAAATAAATAGTTCTATGAATCTGTTACAAAAAAGAAAAAAAGTTCTATGAATCAAGAAATTGTAAAAAATAAAAACAAAAGACGAAATACCCATATACACAAACTGATATTTTTTTGGATTGAAAAACTTGTTAAATTATTATTTTTAAATTATGTTATACGAAAAGTAGATTTTATCTTTTACAAAAAAATGACTTAGTATAAACTGAAGAGAAATATCATAGGGTAGCTCTAAAAATGATTTTTGTCACAACTAAATTCTAAAGATTAAAATAACCAAAATCCTTTTAGTATTAATCCATAAACATTTTTAGAAAATAACCTTGCATTGATGTGTGATTAACAAACTATCATTACTTACGTGGCAGCACCACATCGTCTCTCACATGTTTTATTAAAAAGATCTCTCATTACTAAGATATTTACAAATGATTGCCAATATACATATTTGATCAATAACAAAGTTATTTTATACAATAATATACTAACACTAAGATAATAGATCATTTATCAACCAAATATGTATGATTTTTACTATATACGTAGGACTAGGATAAGTCCGCCCTACGGGCGGGAAGCAAATCAATAAATAATTAAAATAATCAAAGTCATTTGTAATATTATGTTATTATTTTAAATAGACATATTGGATAAATTTTGTATATGTTATTGAACTAAACAAATTATATTGCTTTTCTTAAACGGTCATCTCTCTTAATTCTCTTTATCTTCTTTCTAGTTCCTTAGAAATTTTTTCAAAAGTTAATCGCCGGTTGACCGGCTCCGGTTGCTCCCATAGGACCGGAGTCGGGTTTAGTTTATGTGATCGATGTATGCTTCATCTAGAAAATTTTGGATAGACATCTATGTTTAAATGATCTTGCATGTTAGTCTTCTTATAATCTTAGGTCTTATTTAGTTCGATCTATGTCTCTTGTTCTTTACATGCGGCAGAATCTAGAGTTGATTTCATTAGCTCCTTGTCATTAACCCTAAGATCCGTTCGAGATCTGCTCTTTAGTTAAGCATCAAGTTAGTGTTTAAAACTTAACCTTCTTATCCGAAGCATGATTCACATATCTACATAAGAAGGAAACATTCCAATTCTGAAATCGACTATGCATTATTGCCAAAACCAAACTGAAAAGGAATAAACTCAGGAAATACCACAAAGAGCGTACGGCATCTTCATCATCCGCAAGCTTCTCAGTGGCACGTTCGTACACGTCTCGAGAAGCAAGCTGCTTGCTCCAAGAGGGCTGAGTTAGAAGGGAAAGTCAATGTCCAGTAAGAGTGAAGCGGAGGTGTAGAGATATCTAAACCGATTCCGGTACCGCCCGGTACTTGAAAACTCATCGACGACGAATCAGAGAAATCGAAAAGCTCCACTGCTTGAGTAGATGGAAGCTCAAGCAAGGACGTGTACCCACCGGATTTGTCGGGATTTACATCGGTAGTTGCCAAAAATGCCACTGCCGAGATGAAGTGATTCAAGACATGTTGCTCCCTGGAACGACACAACACCGCAGTATATAGCTCTGAATACTCCGGTCAGATACATAAACAATTACAATTCTGAACAACAAAACCTACGACTCGAAGGAGAGAGAAAGAGAGAGAAAAGATGGTTTTGGGAGGAGGAAAGCATGCCTTTTTATACCCGTAGAAACACCGCCTTTAAGAAGATTCACAAACATTGAAAGCTAGATCGTGGCTAAAGTAGTTAAAAACATGGTTAATGCGATGGAGGAAACTGTCTCGTTTCGATGGAGTTAAAGAAGGCGCAAGAACACGTTCGAACTTTAATGGCGGATATCATAGATTGTGATGAACCCTAAATTCTAAAACGGTGTGTATGATGTGAGTATTTTCGAGCCCTATCAACAAAGATTAAAGCCCACAGAAATAAGTTAATGAAGCACAAAGTTTCAAGAAAGAATGATACATGTTGACATTTGATGACAATATTTTCTGACGTGGACTCTTGGAAGGAGGGAATTGTCTACTTTATATAAATAGATAGATTGTTTAAGTGACTTCCAGGAAGGTGATTAGCACTAAAATAATAATTCATATAATTTGGATGATATAAAATATGGATTTATACTAACATAAAAATAACATATATTTTATATTACTAACACTAAGATAATAGTTCATAGAATTTTTGTAGCAAAACATATCACGCGTACATGTTACTTTGATATTTGATATGTTGGAAACTGAGAATATCATGTTCATGTGTATTACAATCATAATAACTTACAAACTCAAAAAATATCTGAATCGTTATATCTGTAACTTATTGTAACATATAACTTTCACATGCCACCATTACATAACTTTGTTAATATTGTACTTTTACATTCCTCCAACATTTACCAGGACAACTATCTTATGATATAGGGTTAAGCTATTAACCAGATGTTTTATGGTTTTGTTTTTTTGACAAGTTATATGTTTTATGGGTTTTTTAGATACCAAACTATTTTATTTAGTTATAAAATATCAAATGCTAAACATACAAATAAGTTCAGTCAATTTCATAAGCTAACTTTTCAGACTATCCTTATTTGTTTATCTTAATTGGTGTATGGGGTAATATTATCGATTAATTTGTTTCCTTATATTCGTTATTCCTGATTATTATCAATACAAAACTGTTTCTCATTCAATGAAATTGATTTCTCATCCAATTGCCTCCGTAATTATAGTTTTTGTTTTAAAACAAGGGACGAATGAATTACGTAGTCTTTATTATAAATGATTTAAATATGAGGATATGATGGCAACAATGATTTGTTAGACAATTTGCTATTTAAGCCTTTTAATTTTGTGATTAATCATCTAATTTTTAAAATATTTGGAAATAAATAACCAATCACTTAAATTAAGCCTCTTTTTTACATAATTTTATTTTTACCAACATTCTATACGTATTCATTCCACGGGTTACCACCAAACAGAATATGGCAAGCATCTTCTTTTTGTGATTAATCATCGATTTTTTTAAATATTTGGAAATAAATAACCAATCACTTAAATTAAGGATCACGGCTTTGTATAAATTTTTCAAATTTAAAAAGTGTTTCAAATAACAATATTTACAAGTATTCATGAATTTCTTTTTTTCAAATGTTTTATACAATAAGAGAAAAATAATAATGGTCAACATGTATTCATGAATTTCCTAATCTGCTTGGACAGTTTCCAGTTCGATATCAATTCATAATGCGTATTTGAATGATTTTTTAATTACATTACGTATTTCTTGTGTATTATAGAGTTGTATATAAATAAATATTGATTGAATATATTATTTTAGGAAGACATGTCACGAATTTATATAATGTATATATGTTTACAATGCTTACAATGTATTTTGAGAAACATTATATTAATGTATCAAATTATATATTCTATTCCGAATTTTTGGCCACCAGAACACCACACCTCTAACTGAATACTACAAACCAAATATAAAATTTATAAATTTCTAGATTGATTTTATTCAAGCATTGATTGATTTTATTTTGGCATTATGTATTTAAATCAATCATTGCTTGATTTTATTTAAGCATTATGTATTCCAATGTTGATTATGTCTAGAATCTTTTATTTTAGTAAAACAATATCATGAATTTATATTTAGAAAGAAAAACAAGGAGGGATTTCATAATAATCATTGATTGATTTGTTAAGGGCAATTTTTGTTGTATTTTTGATAGCAACTAAGAGATTATACTTCGAAATCATATCATGTAGCTAAGCTAATTGATTGATTTTATTCAAACATTGATTTATTTTAGTTAAACAATACATATTATTCGGAAATTATATATATGATTTGTCAGTAAGTATTTAGAGGTAATATGTATTCATTCCAATTTTAAATACCTTGATTTCAATTAGTGATTTTTTTGATTGATTTTAGGCCATAATTATTCAACACCATTAATTTTTTATTTTGCCTAAACCCTTTCCCCAGTGTACTATATATATCTTCCTAAACTAATCTAAGAACACATCATCACAACCTTAACATTTCTAAAGCAGCATCATGGAAAACTATAATTATTATCATCAGAATTTCATTATGAATTAAATAATTATATTACCTATGATTTGTTTTTTCTTAAATTTATAATAAATTTAAACAAGTCTTTTCTTATTATTATAGTTTTTTTTCATATAATAGACTTTAATGCACCTATCTAATTACACAAACTTATTCATACAAAAAAAAAACCCAATAAACTTGCATTATATAAAACTGCACATTATAGTAAAGCTTTTCATTATATCTAATTTTTTCTTGACTTTCTAATATTTATATATATTAGGTAATATTTTTTTTTAATTCGTTCAGTCTGTGCAGGGCGCGGATTATTTTCTAGTGTTTTATTAAATAAATAAATATATATTTATATTCCTAGGATTAACTAATCCAACCTTATGGTTTAGAGTTAAGGGGTGGAGATTTGTGATTGTTTAAAATTTTATAACTAAAAAGATATTAAAAATTTGAAAATAAAATTTTGAAAAATAGTTTCAAATATTATTTTTAAATTACAAAAAGAAAATGTGAAAAAATCAAAAATAAAACAATTTCACAAAACAATTATAGAAAACAAATTGTAGTTTTAAAACATATAATCTGAAACTATAAAATAAAAAATAATTCTTATTTTTATATATTTTTATTTTTTATTTATATATCTAGAGTATTAGGGTCTTTTTACCTATTAAAAATAAAACATTTTGGTGAATTTCAATGTCTATTTTTGTGACAAAAACTTGAAAATTTTTTATTTAGGAGAATTCTCTTAAATTGAATTTCATTTTAAACAAGTTAGTCTGCTTTCTTTAAAACCGATCTACTTTTAAATAAAACTAGATTTTTTACATGTGCTTAAAAAGTGCGGGTACAAGTTTTTTTCTTTTATCTATAGATAGATCGATAAGTTTTTTTTGCTTTGATGATATAAAATTTTCTCGTCTAATATAACTTTCTAAAATTATTGTAGATGTTAATTTGTTATTATCATCAATATCTGTGTAAATGTATAATATGTAATTGTGTAGTTTTATTTTGAAAAATAATATCAATTAATTACGCTTGGTGCTGGGAAGCGGGTCAAACTCGCTATGCCCGACCCAACTGACCCGCAAAGAAAATAAATTTTATCCGTATCCGCCCCACTTAATTTTTGGATAATAATTAATAATAAAAATAGTTATTTTTTATTTTTTCTAAAAAATAATATTTAAATAGTATATTTTTAATTAAATTTTTATTTAAAAAAAATATTTTAATGCCATTTAGTATATTTTTGCAAAATATTTGTTTTTTTTTTTTTTTTTGCAGATTACCGGATATCCACAATTGAAATTAGAAAAATCTGCTTCCGTCCCTCGTAAAATATATTTAACATGCACCCGCACCTGCAACTTAGTTTTTTCAAATAGTAATTGACCCGTTCCATGGCGGGTCAAATGAGGCAGAACCAGCGGGCTAATAATTAGAAGGTGAATTTGACACATTAATAAAATCCATTAGTATATAGTTTTTAGGCTCAGAATAAAAAAAAAAACAAATTGCTATTAATGAAAAATTAAATTTGTTCATAATAGTAAAAATATTTTTGGAAAAAAATAAAAATATCATTAAAATGAGGGATCATGTTTTAATGGTATTGATTCAACATAAATGCAAAATCTACACATTGTAAGGGTTACTACATTTTTTCTGAATGCAGCTTTTACTTTTATGAACAAGTCTGAAATTCAGAAAAAATGTAGTAACCCTTAAAATGTAGTAAGTATAATTCTATTTGGGTATTATTAGACTCGTTAGTCTCTGGCCTTGAATTGATGTCCTGGTTTTTTAGGTTTATAATGTGTGAATTATTAGAGGAATTTTGAAACATACCTGCATCGCAACAAGGAACAATACTTGGGTTCTTTGCTTCTTTTTGGTATCTTCCATGTATTAAGCTGTGGAAATGGACCTTTTACAAACCTGAAAAACTAAATATGGGTTTGCAGTATATGTTTGGTTTTAGGTCTGTTCCGTGGATTTCATGGGCCCCTATCATGTCAATTTCTTTGGTTTTTTTATGGAGCCGTCAAGGTTATATGTGGTGTAGGTGGTTTACATTATATTTGGTCGCCTTAAACCAAATTAAAATGGGTTCTTTTGTGAATCCTCAAAACATTTTAAGTTCTTATGAGTATCTTGAGTTGGAATTGTAGGGGTGCGGGTAGTTCGGATACGGTTCAACGTATTCGAGATCTACGACGTCAATTTTTTCGGATTTTTTGTTTCTTATGGAGACTAAGCAAAAATTTGCTTACATGGATGTTTTAAAATCAAGCTTGGGGTATGACTATTTACATATGATGAAACCCATTGGGCGTAGTGGTGGTTTAGCTTTAATGTGGAAAGGGTGTTACTCGGTGGAAATTTTAAATAGTAACAATAGAATTATTGATCTTAAAGTTACAATGGGATCCCTTAATTTTTTCCTTTCATGTGTATATGGAGATCCAGTAAGAGGAAGGAGACGATATGTTTGGGATCAACTCACGGATATATGTGTCATTAGAGATGAGGCATGGGTTTTGGTTGGTGATTTTAATGAGCTA